AAAATTTTTTTGTCGCGTTCGCGGCTTTTAAGTAATGCATAAACCTTCGAGGCGCGGGCCCTTCGGATCGCGAGGCATAGGCGGTAGCCCACGTCGTCCATGCCTTACGCTGCCCTTGGTCATAGAAATGATGTAATTTGAATATAAATTATTTATAAATACGTATGTCATATTATATTTTTATTACTACGTAAAATATATTTAAGAGTTTACGACCGCTGTGCTGGGTGAAACGTTGTTGAAACAAAAAAAGTTATGCATTCCATCACGTACATCAACAGTGTCGTAATTCGCCAAGTGCAAATCAGCAAACTCGTAAAATTTTTGTTTATTTTGAACAATCCGGATAATCGAAAATCCGGATAATGGAGGTTCTACTGTATCTTAAATATAAGTTTTTGAAAATGTTCACTGTAAAGAAAAACATTTAAATGAGATTTTATAGAAAATACTAAGACTATTTTTGTCAACACTGAGTCTAAAAAACAATCGCAATAGACCAGTGTTTTTCAGTGTGTTGCAAAGCTTTACACGGGGTCGCGGGTAAAAGAAAAATACAAGTGTTTGTAGGTCAAAAAAACTACAATCTCAGTGAGAAGACTGTGCCTGTTTATTTTACAATACAATTGTTTTTTTGATTGATATTTAGGTCTCAACAGAAAGAAAAATAAGTAGTTTTTAAAATCGCTGACATAGTTTTAATATGGCCCTGGGGGTCGCCAGAATTTTTTAACTTGTAAAGGGGTCGCTTATTGAAGGTTGGATAACACTGCAATAGACAATGAACTGAAAATGTAAATATATTATAACCAAAAGAAAAACTGACATTTGATGTTAAGTAGAATTTATATTAAAACAAAAATTTTTAAAACTATGCAAGAACTTTCAACAGCTGTCATTTCATGTTCAGAAGTTTGATGATCAAATGCTACTTTATGAAAGTCAAATGGTTGCAATTGAACATAGCCATGTTAAGATTTAAATACAAATCAAATAGCATCAAATTATAACACTTAGAGGCAAATAAAATAACAAAAATATTTAAAATCTAAATAATTATGCATTTATACAATGTGTGGTGGTTTAGCCACTATCCGAGGCATACCAGAAAATGCACTTGCTATACTATAATGCAGTAAACTAAACCGCAATACAATAAGGATAGACTAACCAATCTGTAGAGGGATATCCAATATTCTGAAATATCCAAAGTTGAATGATTGTTTAACATTGAAAGTCAGAGGTTTTCTTTTGGTTATATTTAGACTTGATGTGAAGCAATCAAGCAATGTCTAACTGTAAATGTATTAAACACAATAATTAAAATTGTAAAATCTTGCATCTAACATACACCATTAAGTGATACATGTTTATGAAACATGCAACGGTGTAGTCAAACATCAGGTAATCGTAGCAATTTAACATTCAGTAATTCATTTTCAAAATTTTAATGAAAAATATTAAAAATATAATAACTGATGCAAGTATGTTTGATTTGCAGAACTTCAAATTATTAATATCAGATGATAGTGTAAAAGCTATAACATAAGCTCCAGTTTTGTCATTTCTAAGTTATAAGACAGGAAAAACTACAAATTAAATTTATAATATTGCAGATTTTAATGTTTTTGGTTAAACCAGCACTTAACTCTATACAATTATATATTTCAATCAATAACACTGTTTTCATAATCCACATATATCCTTATAAGCACTATACAACATAGTATAGCTTATTTTCTTTTATATACACAATATTCCACAATACATATTTTGAACTGTGTCTTTAGTTATTCACGTAAAGCATGTTTTACATACAGCTTTAGAGATATTCACGTTGTATTTTCTGAGGTAATATCTGGAAAAAGTTAACAAATTTCTTAACCATATGAAATTATAAAATTTAGTTTTTCAAGTTACTGTTCTTGAATATTTGAAAAACCAAATTTTATAATTTGTGAAACCAAACCTACATAATTGTGAAATTTGATATCAATTCTTAAAATTTGACATGCAATTTAAGAATATGATAGTAGGTAACTAAACATACCACATGTGACAGACGGTCTCGTAAAATACATCCATTTTGTTTCTGAAAGAAACTACATTATGATTACACAATGAACTATTTATACAATGAACAAGTAACACTAATACTAGAAGTTATAATTTATGTATGCAATGCACGCTTGATCCATAAAACATAAGGGAAAATGACAACTGAATCATCATACTCAGCAAATTTTCATATAAAAATGTTATAAATAAAACAAGTAAGAATAAACATTAATAATTAATAATACTTGTCAATGTTTTCAATTGAAAAGAATATAAATGTACTAAATTTAAAATTAAAATAATTGCAAACAGAATTTATAGTGTATATAGAATATACATTTTTTGAACTTTCCCACTATTATAAGAAACTTTAATCATCCTCAAATGCTCCTGAATGTTTAAATGTTCAAAGCTCCTGACAACTGATCAGGAAAATCTGAAAGTATTTACATTACTACATTCCACTATACCTTTAAAATGCAGTCTACTATTTTTGGCTAGTTCTCTAACGTTTCAGGATTGATGTAAAAATTTTTTAAAATTTTTTACATCAATCCTGAAGAAGGTCTATGAATTAGACCGAAAACGTTAGAGAACTAGCCAAAAATAGTAGACTGCATTTTAAAGGTATAGTGGAATGTAGTAATTAATAATGCAGTTAGAGATTTAATAATAGTATTTACATTGTTAATAAAGCAACTTTTTACTTCAAAATTTATCTAGATATTTTATTGGAAGAAATTGCTAGAATTTATTTTAATACTCTAATATGATGTCCTAAAATATTCTAAAAATTCATTAAATATAATAAAAAAATATTATTTAATAATAATAGAAGAAAATTTAAATTATTAGAATGGTTCTAAGCATCTTTGCACATCTTCAGGAGTATCTAACTTCCAAACATGAGTATTTCTGCTCAAATTCAAAAATTTCTGTCATTCAAAAATTTTTTGTTTCTATGCAAGTTCAGCAAGCTCAATCACACACAACCTTGAATAGCATCAAAAAAAGGTTTATTCAACTTAAAAAATTGATGTTTTTGAACAGTTTTAATGATTTTTCATCACATTTATTTACCAAAAATCAAACATTTACAAATATCAATGAACATGTTGCATTCATGTTGCATTGTTTTCTGCACATGTCACAGAGGTGTAGTAGATTTAAGTTTATTTTTATATTTAAACTCTCAGAATAAAAATACAGTGATACCCCAAACTTACGCAATAGGTGGGACCGAGCGATAACCGCATAAGTCGAATTCGCGTAAGTTGGGGTATAATTTCGCAATTTGTGTAAAATCCAAGTTGAATGTATGTAAGCTAATAAATGTTCTCGTTAATCTTATCTCGTCTTTTGATTCGTTTATGGTTACAAGAAATCACCACATAGATGTCTCTCAAGTCTCCGTAGATGTAACAAACACAGAAGTAAATAACACAAAATAAATTGTAGCTATGTATCGATTCCACGCGATACGTCCGAACATGTAAGCTGAACAATAGTATGGGGGGAGTGAGTAATCAACAGTTGCGTGGCGCTCAAACAAAATACGAATCAACGAGATTTGAAAATCGCGTAACTCCGGGTTTGCGTAAGTCGAGGTATTACTGTAATTGAATGCTACATATCTGTTAATATTTGTAATGTTTAGTTTTGGAACATAAACCTGATGATCAGTAAAAGTGATCAAAAGCATTAGTTAGCTTTCTAAGCTCAATCAATCTTTTTACTGTTATTTAAGATTTTGTGTAATTGAGTATACACTGTAGCAGTAAGATTTTTGAATAATAAAACAGATTTATTCTTCCACACTATTGCACAATTCAAAAAATTATCTACATAAATATCTGAATGTCTATTGTGATGCATTATCCCTTATTCATATTTTTATTGGGTAATTCAGAAACTAATTTCATTTTTTTTACCACTAGACGGATTAGTCATATTTTTCCCACCATTTTCATTCTAAACCATATTATCATTATATATTTTGACAGCTAGCATTTTAAGGCTTATTTGTAAAAAATTTTGTTTGATTTTGTGCAATTGTTTATTTTTTGTGTCCCATCAAATATGGAAGATCGAAAGCAGCATTTTTGGCATATTTTGCTCTTTTATTACCGAAAAGGTAAGAATGCTGTTCAAGCGAGAAAAAGATTGTGTGACATGTATGGAGAAGAAGTATTGACAGGACGACAGTGCCAAAATTGGTTTACAAAATTTCGTTCCGGCAATTTCAATATTGAAGATGCGCCACGTTCTGGACGGCCAGTTGAAGCCAATGAAAACAAAATAAAGGTACTGATTGAAGCAAACTGCCAAATAACAACACGTGAAATCACTAAGAGATTAAATTTGTCAAATTGAACTGTTTATGATTACTTGAAACAAATTGGTTTCATTTCAAAGCTCGATATATGGGTTCCACATGTTCTTAAAGAGAGATGCTTTCTTTGGTGGGATTTTAAGGAAATTGGTTTTTGGAGCTTTTACCAGACAATTTAACAATTGATTTGAAAGTGTACTGCCATCGAGTAAACAAATTGAGTAATATCCTCAAACAGAAAAGGCGGCCAGAATTGATCAACAAAACAGGTGGAGTGTTATACCATGATAATGTCAAATTTCACACAAGTTTGGTAACTTGTTAGAAACTGTTATAACTCAGATAGGACATGCTATCGCACCAACCATATTCACCAGATCGAGCACACTCAAATTATTACTTGTTCCAGTCTATACAAATTTTTTTTAACTTTAAGACATTTACTTGAAATAACAATGTCAAAAATCACTTGAATCAGTTTTTTGTAAGCAACAATCAAAACTTTTATGAATGTGAAATCGCGCTACTACCAGAAACGATGACAACAGGTATTTGACCAAAATGGTCACTATATAATTAAACAAAATATTTATTTATTATAAAAATATTGTTTTTTTTTTCGTGGAAAAAAATGAAATTACTTTCTGAACAGCCCAATAGTTTAAGAATGATGTGATTCCAAAATTGTTTATGAATTACATCAAGCTTGCACTGCATAGACTATAAATCAACATTTTACACAATGGACAATTGTATCAATTAAAAAAATGCTATAAAAGTATTTTGTTAAATAAAATCCTAAATATATAATAATTGAAAATTTTTTTCTATAATCAAATCAATATTGTCCAATATTAACAAAAAAAAAATAATAATAATAACTGGAAACAAATCCATTTACACAATAGATTGTATTAAATCATGATTTTCATGAATAAATAAAGTTTTATCTAATTTGGCCGGAGACAGGTTTGATTTCTTTTCATTCCATAGAATACCTTTCACACTGAATGCTCTCTCGGAAGGAATACTAGTTGCTGGAACACTTAGGATGTATTTTGCTAAACACGCCAGTCGAGGAAAAGAACTTTCGTGATCTTTCCACCATAGTAACGGGTCTTCAACGGCTGTTGTAACAGAAAGGTACTGCTGAATTTCAGCTTCTATACCCACTCTGTGACTTCCAGTATGCTTTTGTAAAAGTTCCAATTTTAATCTCTTCCAGTTAGAAGGTGGATCTATAGGTGGAGTGAGAGGATTTTCACATAAAATGTCTTCTAATTCAGTTGAAATGTAAGTTTCATACATTTTTTTGAGAAAAGACTCTTTACTGCTATTATTTTGATATAAAAATTCATCTATTGTCTGTAGACCGCGAAGAGAAGGATCAAATAATGCTGAACAAAGCTGAAGTTCACTAATAGGAAACCTTCTCTCTACAGAGAGAAGCATGCTTTCCTTAAATTTGCATAAGATCTGGCTATCCATGTTTGTTGTCTGTAAACTTGACATTAATTCAGCACGAAATAATAATGCCAAATTTAAAGAAGCAAATTTACATCCACCGAGAATCTCACTGGCAGTACGTAATGACCCTAAAACTTCATTTATTTCTTTCAACAGAGCCCATTCCATTTCCTTTAGCATCAATTCATTTAATTCCAAAATACTCAAGAAGCTAATAATAACTGATTCATATGAAATTATATTTTCCACAAGAGCAGATATACATGTCCACGTCGTGGGAAAATCTTGCATAGAATTAAAAACAGTCATATTTGGAAGTTTATGTGGTACAGCCTCTTCGAATAAAGGCAAGCGGGCATCCGCATCTAGGAATTCGCCAACTTCAATCAATTTAAGAATAATATCTTCATATTGCACACGATATTCATGAGGAAGGTCTGTAAGTCTGTACGTAAGATGCTTCACCAACAACTTTGCTTTAATTATCACTTCCATTATCTCGGGACTATTACTGATTCCATCGTGCACAACTAAATTATGCAAAGCATGTGACAAACAATTATAATAGTCAATTTTTGTCAAGGCACAAGCTTTTGATATATTTGTTCCTTCTGGGCTTATACAAATAATAAAATTATTTTTTAAATCAAATTCTTCAACTGTCTTCTTTATTTCATTTTGAATCAGTTGAATTTTATATGGATAAGGAATAACTGATGTTCGTAAATTAAAAGCTTTAGCCACGAAACTGTTACTTACAAAATGAAGAGTAAATGTAATAAATGACAATTGTTTTATAACATCAGTCCAGATATCCAACGTGAGTGATACAACTTTCGGACAATTAGCAATTTCTTTTTTCATTACCATAACTGTCATATCATAAATCTCATTAAATGCATATTTTAGTACAGACTTTGGTTCAGGTAATTCATTTCCACCAAGTATTTTGTACTTTTTTACAAATTCAACAAATCCTTGGCCATTGCTCATACTAAATGGCACCATGTCTCGACAAAACCACAGGGCAAGATCTTTGCAAATTAAATTCTTGGCCTTTCCTTTATGAGCCAATTTCAATAAATCATTATTTCTGTTGCCCTTGCTTGTTTCTCCCTGTTTTGACGTTCTGTTTGGAGACTTGTTGTTTGCATCTTTCACATGATTAAACACGTCCACTATTATGTTACCTTCTGCCAGAGGAGGAACAACATTGTGATTTTTCTTCAAGTGTAGTAATAAATTCCCTGTTGCAACATTTCTTTTGTATCTCTTCACAAGAGTTATAATGTTGGAAGTAGATGTAGGAGTGTTTGGCAAATTTGCCTGGAAACACACAGAACAATAAACATGATCGGTGTCAACACACTGTTCGTAGTCTTCCGCTTTCACAAGGAGACCAAAATATCTCCATGCAAAACTCTTCCTTTCGGTCAGTTTAATGCAGTAATATGATAATGTTTCCATTTCTGCACTCATTTTTAATCATTTAAGTGTCTTATTTTCGTATTCACATGCGTTGTGTTAACTTGAGATCTGTTTAAAAATAAATATTATTTATTTGTTAAATAAAATAGTAATTTTAAAACTAATATAATAACACTTTGAATTTTTATTATCAAATTATGCTTTAGTTGTAAATTAAATTTATTTGGATATTTTTAAAAATATTTAATGTCATTATTATTATTATTATTGTTGTTAACTGTATTTTTTATAATGCAGTATTTATTTCATTACAAAGTTTTTACAATTCCATAAAATGTAAATAGTTCATCTAATAATAATAAACTTTCAGGTATTTAAGAAATCAATCAAAGCATTGCTGATTAATATTTTCAAAGCCTTTGAAATCTCATCTTCAGTTCTCTCTTCAAACAAAACCTCTTGGTTCAAACAGAAATTTAGAGATGGACAAAAATCCCCAAAAGTATTAATCCATGCATATTAAATACTTGAGAAGTTAAGTAAACACTATCAACATTAATAATTCAATGCAACAAATTGAATAGTTAACAAGCTTGGTCAAGCAAATCTGATAGCATGCTCCACAAAAGTGAATTAAATATTAATTTTGTTTAAAATAAATTTTATGAATTCTTGGACTCAAGTAGATGTGCATGCGCATGGACATGCACAATAAATGGATTAAACGAAACATAACACTTAGGTAACGAAAGTGAAGTCACTGCATGTGCATGTGGACATCTGACAGACAGACAAAAGTCCTAACATAATCACTTCACTACGGGGCTGTAGAGTCGGTAAAAAAACACTTGACTCTGACTCCAGACTGGCAAAATTAAATACCAAGTCATTTTATGAAGGGGGACAGAGGCAATCATAGGGGTACCCTACTCTGAACTCTGAAAGGAGCCTGGGATGTTTACCCAAATACTTTTATAGTTAGTATTTTTAATATTTAACTTACATTAATATCTATTTGTATAAAAAAATTAATTTTTAACAGATATTTATTAAGAGGAGAAATGGGACAATAAAATTCTACATCTGCATACATTCAATAGCATTTACACTGCAATTTCACTCTTCCAGAAGAGTTAGTCCAACTAAAAAGTGTGTGATCTAGCTAGCTACTTCAGCCCCTTGTTTAGAAAAAAAAAATATGTACTCTGATCAATTAGTCTGGCTCATTCAGAAAAATAGAATACTTGTTTAGAGCAGGGATAATAAAGAAATGATTCAAAAATATTCAAATTCAATTAGGACAAAATAATTTAACTACTAAACACAAATACTACAAAGAACACTACATATTTAATAAATTAAATTCATGCATTTTGTATTTAAAATAAATGAATTATAACAAAATACAAAAGGATTTTAAAAAATTAATAAATATACTGTATAATAAATTTTCTTTCATTTAAATAATAATAAAAAAAAAAAAAAAGTAAATTTAAAATGTGGGAGTTGGAATCGATACATTTTTTCCGACTCCAACTCCTGTGGCCAGAAATTCCTCCCAACCCCACAACCCTGCTTCACTACTATAATGGTGTGTGCTAAAAATGACTAATTTCTAAGAGTCACTTCATCCTCAGACTCAAACCATTTTTTAACTTAATTTGTTGAATTTGATGCAGTTGAAACAGTCAAATTTATAGTGTTATATATAATTTAATAAACATTTCTTTACAAGTTAAGTAGATAAATGATGGAGAAGTATTGCAATTTTGATAGCACTGAAAAGGATTAATTTTTCTGAAAAAATAATAAGATTACTATGCAAAACAGTCTTGCCAAAATTATCGGGGTACTTTTGGGCTACATTAATAATTAATTATTAATCAATTTGATTAGAGATAGGTAGTTAAGCCATCTTCTTTTAGTGATTTTAATAATTATAGTAAATTAATTTAATTTATAAATTTCTGGAATAGAAGAATCAGCCTGGAGTGGGAATTAAACTCACAACTCCTATGTATTGTGCAGATGCATTGTCAGTTACGCTACCCAGACCACCATTCAATCTTCGTCTCCAGAACTATTAATTTAGACACAACCATTCCGATCACTTACAGCACCAACTGGGAATAAATAAATGCTCATGGCCTTTAACTCCCTTTATATATATGTGGTGCCCATCCCCCACGTTGAGATGATTTTGTCGTGTCCGATGTCATGCGCAGGCAAGAAAAAAAATGAACCGCTAGAGTTACGACGTAGCGCGAATGACGTGTCAGCTTCAAGACGATTAATAGAGAGGTTGGGCCGTCATATTCAGCCCAAAACGTGAACAGCGGACTGTCGAGCGCCGCCATCTGGTAATTCTGGACGGTCGATAATGGTGGTTGCTACTTCTAGTGTGGCAAGTAGACGATCGGCTTAAACTTCATTTTTTTGTGTTTGGGGTTAAAATTATGACCTATTTTATTAAGATAATGATTATTTAAGCAGTTATGAATAATAATGTAAATAAAAAGACGATTTTAATCCAGAAATTATTTAATTATTTAATTTTTTAGCAAGTGATGTAGAATTTACATATATTTGCCTTCATAATAGCTTATCTTAAGGTAGGTTTGTTCCACAGCATCTTCTACCATCAACAGCGTAATATGTTTGTAAATTTTCTAAAAATTAATTTTCTGAGCTGCTTTCAAATTTACATAAGCCGATACTTCCCTCGACAAAAGTATGAGGTAGTCCTGTCGTACGGTAGGAGACACAACGCTAATTAAAAATAATTGTTTAGTGTTATTAAACACCCTATAAATACCGTAATACCCCAAACTTACGTGACAGGTGGGACCAAGCGATAACCACGTAAGTCGAGGTATAATTTTGCAATTTGTGTAAAATCCAAGTCGAATGTATGTAAGCTAATAAATGTTCTCGTTAATCTTATCTTGTCTTTTGATTCGTTCACAGTTACAAGAAATCACCACATAAAGTCTCTCAAGTCTCTGTAGATATAACAAACACAGAAATAAATTGTAGCTATGTGTCAATTCGATGTGACACATCTGAACAAGTAAGCTGAACAATAGTGTGGGGGAGTGAGTAATCAAGAGTTGCATGGCACTCAAACAAAAGACGAATCGATGAGATTTGAAAATCGCATAACTCCAGGTTCGTGTAATTCGAGGTATTACTGTACTTTAAAATAGTTTAATTTGTTTATTTATCTTCACTGGTAACCCTCAATGTTAAATGTATCCACCATTTTTTCAACAAATTTCCCACGAGTCAATGCACAACGTTCACTGAGTCACGTGATGATGTGAATGTGCGCTGCAACGATATTTTCTTGGAGTTAAAACGTAAACCGTGTACTTCTGCTTGCTGTGTACAAGTAACGTTTGAACTTGGGCCACAAACTCTCTAATATCCGTTTAATAATTAGTTTCAAGATGATTTGTTTAGTGTTCATCATTTTGTAAGTTTTGTTTTATAATGACGTATATTTTAATACGATACATGTCATAAAAGTTCTTCATATTCTTTCTTAAACTGTGTTCTGCATACGCTTCTTAATGCCCAGCCCAGCCATCTTTAGACACATTTCTCCAGAGCAGGATAAGAGTGATTTAAGTAGTTGTGAATTATCGAAATCACAGAGTTTACTGATTATACTGAAACATTTAATGACGAATGAAGGGATTCTGAAACTGACTGTGATTCGCCAAAACAAAAACTTTTGATTTTGAATTAAAACAAAAACTTTTGGATAGTATAAACACTCATCTCGGAAACAGCGTAAGGGGTACGTCGATTTTTATTCCGTAAAATGATTCTAAATGATAGAAATAAGTGTTGCATTGAAGAATTGCAACTTTGATAAAATCAAAATTTTTCATAAATTTGTTTTTGATACCGACGGCGATCGGTCAAGCCAAAAGAGAATAAGAAATTTCAGTGGATTTACATTGAGGATTTTAATAAGAAATTGAAAAGTATAGAAGGTAACTTTTCCTTGAATGAGCTAATTACGATTTCTAACATTTTAAACATATCTGTTAAGGCAATAAATCAAAAGTAGCGAACAGAATTCTAGCTGATTTGTGTCTTTTGGAATCCTTAGCTCAGCATGTCTGACTTGACGTTTCGTCTGGCTCTGAGCCTGTAGCAGATGAACCAAATAAAAAAATTGAAGGTTAAGGTGAATTTTCAATGCAGTGCAATATGAATAAAAATAAAATCAGTCTCGATTCCTCTATCCAATCTGAACAAAGTTATGTTGTAGCTAGTTCTGTTTTCAATAGTGTTGTTTGATCGATGAATTCTCATTTGAAATTAATTCAGCTAGGTTGCATGAGCTTTCGAGTAAACACATAATGCAGGACTCTGAATCCATTCGGGAATATTATTTAAAGATGAAAGAGTTATGTAATTTTGGAAAAATGGATGATGGTGCTTTAATGCATTATGTGATTAAAGGGATTAATGATAAATATGCACTAACCAAGGCACGAAATGGTTAGAAGGGCTTTTCTATACTGCGACAACATTATAGACCGGGTTACTGAGATCGAAAGGATCATACAGTTAGCAGAAGCCTTAGGTTATAAGACAAATATTATAACGGGTACTGTTAGAAAATTTGAGAAGAATAATGATAAAGTCTCCAGACAAGGTCCATCCAAGTACACAAAATTTACATTCAACAAATATTTAGGAGGAATTATGAAGGAAATTGCAAGCGTTAAAGGTTCAAAGGTGATTTTGAAAAGAGCTCCCAATTTATATAAAATTCTTAGAAACGATAAAGGGGTTATTAAAAAAGTAGATAAGGCAGGTGTTTACAAAATTCCATACGAGAACCAGCAATTAGGAATAAAAAAAGATTACGTAGGAGTCACTACCAGAAACCTCGGGGTAAGGATTAGGGAACATAAGTATGATGCTAGAAAAGGGTCTAATACAACAATATTGGCCCAGATGGCGCAGGCCCAAGGATCCCTGATTGGATGGGAGGAAGCGGAAGTCGTGAGACAGGTGCACTCACCAACCTTGGCGAGGACGGCCGAAAAAATGGAGATATACAGGAGCAAACTTAAAGACGGATGCAT